TTTTTCCTTTTTTTAATTTCTTTTTTTAAAAAGATTTATTTATTTATGCATACAAAACTGGATACAGGCCAGAGGTGTGGGGGGTGAGAGGATTCACCAGAGACAGGGTGGGGAACAGAACAGTGATCGAAGTACATTGCTTAGGGAGCAGTGGGCAAGTCAGGAGAGGTCTGCTGAGCCATGTGGGTTTTTCCCTGGCCAGGGATTGAACTCGTGCTGCAGAGGCTGCAGGTAGCTTCATAGTGCTGTGTCTTAACCCCTTGTGCCACCAGGGTGGCCCCTGGAGCACTATTTCTTTAACTGTATATGGCTGAAGATAATTTTGGTAAATGAATAAATATTTTGATCTCAAACAAATATATCTGTACCAAGGTAAGGGACCGGTAAGTAATGAAAAGTTTACACATCCTGCCTCTTTGCTGAAAGCAGACTCCTTCCAAAGCCTTGAGCTCCAGGCCCTGGGGAGATGCGCAGAAGGATACACAGCACACCACTGGCAGGGCAGGAGGGGAGAGTTAGTAGGAGCGACACAGAAAGAGGAAATGGAAGAGACAAGATAAGCAACATTTCCTGCCTGCTGGGCCGTCAATGGAGCATGAGAGAAAGAAGTTGGTATGAGATTCTGGCACAGCATCGAATCAAAGTGAGTAGACATGGGACTTAGCAGAATTTTAAGTTGGAGGGCAAGTCTGTGGCTAGAAATTCCAGCTTTGAAGACCCTAGAGATGAACCAGACTAACCCTCTCAGGGGCTTGGCTCAAAATGGGTGCATTTTACCCAAGGCACATAGAGAAATGGAGAAAAAGAGCTTGAGAGTGAGCCAGACAGGGTGAAGTTGGCCCAAACTGGGGATATTTCATCAAAAACCACCCCACTGAGAGCTGATTGCGCTAGGTCAGCAAAACAACTGGCTGACTGGCAGCTTCTGCCCTGTGCGGGTGATGTCAGGAACTGTGAGTAGATGAACAATTCCCCGTGAGGGCTGGGTGGTCTGGTAGGGAGACAGATTTGCCCCTGGACAATAATTTCCCTGCAGACTTAGAAAGCTTTGAGCAGGATGTCAGGGAGGCCTGGGGAGGTGGGTGAGTGTGGGAACATGGGGAAGTCTCTGGAAATCTGAAGCTAGGCCATGGGGAACAGAAAGAGTCAGGCTGCAGGCAAAAGACACACAAATTCACATTTGGTGCTTGACTAGGGAGAGAAGCAGGGGTTTTGAACATTTTTTGAAACTGTGATGCCACTTTTCACTGAAATAGTAAATGTACTCAACGTGTTCAAGAAGCAGGTGTGTTAGGAGTGTGTCAGAAAGGGAAGGGTAAGCTCTCCCAGTTGATGGGGGCCTTCTATTCCAGACAGGCCTGTGCCTCCTGGATGCCTAGCTCAGGGCCCAGCCCTGCCCTCCCAGAACAGACCATCTATCACATCATAAAGAGATCAAAGCAGAGGGGGTCACTGCCTTCTCCCTCCAGACTGCTTCAACAGAGCAAAGTTCCCCTTCTCCTTGACCAGCCTCTCTTGCAGCCATGTATGGCTGTTGCTACTTTAGCTGTCCTTTGGGCTGGTGGAAAACAGCTGCTAACTATCTCCTGGGTGGAGAGCACATCCTCTGCATGACAGATTTTGGTCAGTGCTGCTCAGCTGCGTGCCACTGTGGCTTCTTGGGCCCAAAAAAACTCAGGGCATGAGGTTGGCTGGAGGTTGGCTGGAGCTACTACTGCTTGACCAGTTAGGATGGGGTGGAGCAGGATGACTAACAGGACCGAGAGGACCTAGAGTTGGTCTTTCCTGGAGCTGCGACTGATTTCCGCTGCCTGGAACCTGCCATTCCAGGAAAAGGCCCAGGCCCTGTTTGGAAGGCAGCCAGGTGAGTGCGAGAGAAATTGGCTCCCTGCAAAGACCCAACAACCTGTGCTGCAGGCCAGACATAGGTGTTTGATGTCTGTGCCTGGAAAATTAGCTCAACAGGAAGCAGATGGGTTGAGATATTTCGAAAGAGGATGTACAGGAAAATAAGATTCCAATAGGAAAAGAAGTAATGATAATAATGGAATAAAATGAATACACAGGAGTCCATTCTGATGGAAACAAATTAAAAGAACTAGTTTTTTTTTTTAAAGATGTATTTATTTATTTATTCATTTATTTATACAAGCACTGGGTATAGTCAGAAGCGCGGGAGGGTGAGAGAATTCACCAGAGCCAGAGCGGGGAGCAGAGCAGGCAGAAGGACCGAAGTACACTGCTGAGGGGAGCAGCGGGCGGCAGGAGAGGTCTGCGCGCCATGTGGGACCCTCGACCCGGGATGAAACCGGCGTTGCAGAGGCTGCGGGCAGCCTTGCAACCCAGCGCTCAACCGCTACGCCACCGGGGAGGCCCAAAAGAACTAATTCTTTTTTAAAAAGAAGTTGGTTTTATTTTATGTTATTTTTTCATCCCGATCCCCCCACCACCAAGCACTGATCTGTCACAGGCCCCTTGAGCTCTTCCTCTCCCGCTGGTCCCCTCTCCCTTCCCCGCCCCAGCTGGATGCCTCCAATCAAGTGTCAGCTTGCAAGCTTTGTCTTTTTCCTGCCCTTTGAAAAACCAATTCTTTTTTTGCAGTGAAATTTCAATTAATCAATCTAGAAAGGATGATGAATATAGAAAATCCCATTTGGCAAATACTACAGCAATAACTGTCATCACAAAGCTTCATCAGTGGGTGCTAAAATGAATGGGCAACTATGGAGAGCTGTATGGAGATTCCTTGACCTACTAAAGATGGAGCTTCCATATGATCCAGCAACTCCACTCCTAGGTATTTACCCAAATGACACAGAAACAGTAATTCCAAAGGGCACCTGCGCCCCTATATTTATAGCAGCACTATTCACAATAGCCAAGCTTTGGAAACAACCCAAATGCCCAAAAATAGATGACTGGATCAAGAAGATGTGGTACATATATACAATGCAATATTACCCAGCAATCAAAAAAGATAAACTCATGCAATAGCAGCAACATGGATGGCGCTGGAAGGGATCATGCTCAGCGAAATAAGTCAGAAAGAAAAGGAAAAATACCGGATAGTCTCACTCATAGCAGGAACCTAGAAAACCTAAATAAGGGACCAGGAGAAAGACTAATTAATACAAAGTAAAAATCAAAATCAAAAAGCAACTATAGACCAGAGACACACTATGGTGGGGGGCTGGGGGGGGTTGAGTAGAGAGATTAGGGTCAGAATAAGGGGGGTAGGAATTGTATGGGGAATACAACAAAAATGAAAAAATATGTAAGAATTATATAAAATAAAATAATTAAACAAAATAAAATGAGTGGGCAAAAGTAGGATAAGAAACAGGTTATTTGCTTGGTCTCAAAGGACCACACAGGACTCTTATTAATGACAGGGAATAAAAAATAATTTCACAGTGGATACACCCGGCAGACACCCCCTTCCCACGTGATCCAAGTTCACACTGAGGAGGCTTTGAGAAGGACACCCAGCAAAGGCATCATCACCACAATCTAATCATGAAGAAGCATCAAGCGGAATGCAGGGAAGTTCTTCAGGGCTTTTCAAACCCATCAAGCTCACAAAAGACAAAGCCAGGCTGGCCAGATGCTCTGTGGGATCCTGGACCAGAGAGGACATTCGTGGGACACTTGGTGCCTCTGAATGAGACTGTTCCTTCGTTAACAGTATCGTGTCTCAGTCCACTTCCCGGCTTAGGCCACTCGTGTGGGTCTGTGAGGTGCTGCCATGAGGAGGTGCTGGTGACAGATATGCAGTCCTGGGTACAGCTCTTGCAATTTTAAATTTAAAAAAAATTTAAAAACTGGTAGGTTTGAGGAAAGAACCTAGATTCCAGAACTTAGCTGTTCCCCAGGATGGAGCTACGACTCCACGGCTTTGGCAGATTGGTAACTAACACTTGGTCTAGAGAGACTTGGAGTTTCACCCACATGGTGCCACCTGCTTCCCTCTGGCACAGACAGCCGTGGACCTCAGGGACAGGCAAAAGTCTAAGTCCATGTCCACCCTTCTGGGGACATTTTGTTATTGTCATGCCTGTCTGTGGAGGCACTATTGTCTACCCCCAATACAGATCCCCAACCAAGGATGAAGAGGTGAAGCCACCCTCTCTAGGTCCACAGTGGGGGCATGCAAAACCAGATCAAGCCCAGCTCGGTGTGACCCCCTTGCCAGCCTGTAACCACTTGGCATCAGTGCCCTGTTGCTGCTCTGTTCAGAAAGAGGTCATAGGCATTCACGAAGCATCTGCTACGCATCAGATTAAGTGGGGCTGGAGTGTGATGGTGGCTGAGGCATTGGCTCTGTACTACAGATGCTGTCCTGAAGAGAGGATATTTCCCTTCTTCCAAGCACATATGCATATCATCCATTCATCCATTCATTCTGTTTCTACTCTTGCCTGGCCCTGGGCTCAGATGTGGTTCTTGCTCTGGGAATGCCTGACTTGTAGGGGAGCAGACAGGTGTCGAGCTATACAGACATACATGATTGGGTGGGGATGGCAGTGGAGAAGAGGTGAGGAAAGAGGGAAGATGGTTTGGAAAAATCTAGGATGAGGCTATGGCTGACACAGTGTGGGTGTAACAGACACAACGTTGCTTGGAAGGAGTTAAGGTCAGAGAAGCGAGTTGGGGGAAAAGGGGTGGGTTTCTGCTGGGGAAGTGTTCAGGATCAATGAAGCTGAAGGTTGGACAGCTGCCTAGATAGGGGACAGAGAAAGCAAAAACACAGGTTGGATTGGGCCTGTTTTTGCCCAGGTCCAGCTGCAGGGGACTCCATCCAAAGAGGTGTGATTGGAGAGACATGTTTTGAAAGAAATGAGACTGGCTTTTGGAGCTACTGATTTATGAGAAAGCTGTCATTACAGTTTGACTCATTTTGTCAGCAGCTGAAGTGGGGCTGGGACTGCATAGATGGTGGGCTTTGTTCCAGCCTTAGAGCCGGATGTGTGGAGGCTGCTGTCCAGACAGGGGCAGAGCTTATAAGAAAAAACACACTCCCTCTGCTCTTTCCTGAGGAAGAAGGACCAGGCACTGTTGCTCTCCTCCTGGGCTCAGGGTGCACATCCCCAGGCCAGGAGGTCTGGCTCCGGTAGGTTCTGACCACACTTGGGTTGGGGTGGGCCCTGCCCAGGGGTCCCAGAGACCAGATCCAGGGGCTGGAGAGTGGCAACAGGTGTGGGGAGCAGGAGATACGAAGAGCTTTCTCTCTAGGGGAGCTGCTGGAGCAGTTGCCCTGGGAAGCAGGTAGCCCCTGGCTGCTTCCCATTGTCATGCTGGCTCTGAGAATCTGTTTCAGTGGGTTCTGAAAATCCCTGAGAGATGATCTCAGACCTGGTTGGTTGCCCTCAGGCATTTCCTCCGTTTCCCCAGATGTCCCGTGATGGAGACAGATGAGATGGTCTCCAAGGACCGCCCTCCTGGGGCTGATGTTCCCCTGCTCCATGTTCTTCGCAGACATCCACACCTTCTTGGTGTGACTCTGTCTCTTGTTATCACACCCACCCCCAACCCTCCAGCTCTTCTGCCCCAAACAGTCCAAGGATACGCTCTTATTCGTCTGAGCCTGTTGTCATTTTAGGGCGTGGGAAGGATTTTATAGCTATATCCTGGGCACTCATTTAGCTGTTCTAAAAACGCCACAAGGGAGATATTTTATTTTATTTTTTTAAAGATTTATTTATTTATACATACAAGAACTGGTGTGGGGAGTGAGAGGATTCACCAGAGAGAGAGTGGGGAACAGAACAGGCAGACTGACTGAAATACCCTGCTGAGAGGAGCAGCGGTCTAGTCAGGAGAGGTCTGCTCACCATGTGGGTTTCTCCCTGGCCAGGATTGAACTTGTGCTGCAGAGGCCGTGGATAGCTTCATAGGTTGCGTCTTAATCCCTTGCGCCACCAGGGAGGCCCCAAGGGAGATATTTTATAGGTGAAAAAAACTGAGGCTCAGAGAGGTTAAGTAATTTGCCCAGAGCTTCCCAGCCTTAAGTGGGCCATGTTGTATTTTGTCTTTTATTCCATGTTATTCTGTGTGATCTTACCACCCTCCCTGGAGGCAGTGGGGATAGTGGGGGTGTTGCCTTTTAAACCCAGCATAATGCTGAAATATAAATGTAAGGTGCTCTCGTGGTGAACTTTCAGGCACCAATGAGAGGCAAAAAGGAAAAAAAAACAAGAAGGATTTGGAGGAAATACGGAAAGTCACAGCTTCTTTTGTGGCAGCAGCTCCTTGAAGAGTTGGATCCTAAAAGTGCTTAGTTTTTATTAACTGAAATAAGCTTGGGGCAGAGGGATTGCTCTTGAGAGCTTATCAACATCACAAACACCACCCACTTGCAGATAAGAGTCAGGAAACATTGAATAATGTGGGGCCCATAGGGGCACAAGTATCCCAGGGAGGAGGAGGAGGCTGTGGGGGGAACCCCTGCCCTGCTGGGGACTGGTCAAGGTCACTTTCCTCCAGCCAGACCTGGGGAAGCTAACGCAGCACCCCAGGAGCCTGGCATGAAAACAAGACGCACCAGAACATTCCCAAGGGCAATCCTGGGGCGGGGGAGGAAGTCTCCTGTATTTTTCCTCAAATCCTGCATTTTGCATTGAACATGTATTACTTTTGGAATCAGGATAAGAGTAGAGTTAGGGGCCTCCCTGGTGGCGCAAGAGGTTAAGCACCGCACTATGAAACAATCCGAGGCCTCTGCAGCACGAGTTCGATCCCCGGCCGGCCAGGGAGCAACCCACATGGCGAAGCAGACCTCTCCTGTCTCGCCCCGCTGCTCCCCTCAGCAGTGTATTTCTGTCAGTCTGCCTGTTCTGGTCCCCACTCTGTCTCTGGTGAGTCCTCTCACGCCCCGCATCTCTGGCCTCTACCCCAGCTCTTGTATGCTTAAATAAATAAATCTTTTTTTTTTTTTTTAAAAAAGGAGGGCCTCCCTGGTGGCGCAGGGTTGAGCGCTGGCTTGTGAAGCTGCCCGCAGCCTCTGGAGCGCTAGTTCGATTCCCGGCCACCGGGCAAGGGTCCCACATGGCGCGCAGACCTCTCCTGTCTCGCCCCGCTGCTCCCCTCAGCAGTGTACTTCGTCAGTCTGCCTGTTCTTCTCTCCACTCTGGCTCTGGTGAATTCTCTCACCCTCCCGTACTTCTGACTGTACCCAGTGGTTGTATAAATAAATAAATAAATCTTAAAAAAAAAAAAAAAAGTAGAGTTAAAAAAAGTAAAGAGAGACTACAATGATCTGGGATGCAGTGGTCAGGGTCCCAGGGTTAGCTCTGCCTCCTCTGGTGTGGCCCTGGGCTCCCTGGAGAGGTGACACTGTTGTGCCCAAGTCGACCAGTGCAGCCCCCAAGGACACAGACAACCGATGCAAGGGCACAAAGGAGTTTATTACGGGCTCGAGACCGGGCCCTCGACACGCACCGATGCAACGGCAGAGGTCGAGAGCCCTGAACAGAGGAAGCTGGGGTATCTTATAGGGTCACGAGTGGCGCGAATTTTGAAAGAAGCTGGCAATTACTCATTGGCTACTACAAAAGCATTTTGGCGCGCGCGGTTATAGTTTCAAACTGATTGGACGGTTAGTGATGCTGTCCCATTTATGGATAGGACTGCCCTCATTGGCGGCTGGGGTGGTCTGCTTTTTCATCACCAAGTGAAGTGAGGGTTGTGACTGCTGAAACTATCTCTGGAATGCGGCTGGACAAGGAATGCGGCTGGACAAGGACTAACATACCAAGGTGGAGGATATACAAAATGGCGAAACCTCAGCTAAGCTTGGTTCCACAACACCTGCTTACCTTTTTAAAAGGCAGCCAGGGGGACTTGAAAGGACTGGGATATAAATGAGCCTCGGAAGTACCGGGCCCCATGTAAATATCAGGACTGGGCGCTATTGTTTTCTACAGCACATGGATCCAAAGGCGCTGCCTCCCTGGTGGACCTCGCAGAGGGCAGCTGTGCTGTGAGTCTACAGAGGGGCAGGAAACTGGCTCTGGAGGCAGCTGTAGGGACTGACTTCCTATAGTGCACTTGCTGCCTGGGGTGCAGTCTCCCTTCTCTGAGGCTCAATCCCTCCTTTGTAAAGTGGGATTAACAATAGTGCTTGTCCCATAAATTGTTGTGAGCAGTAAATTACATTTGAAAGTTTGGGGAGGGGAGCCACAGTTGACTTGTTATTGGCTTTGAGAGGCAAGGCAACTGAGTGTTTTAAGAGTGGGGACTTAGGGTTTGTAAAACTGATTCCACTGCTCATTTGCTGTGTAATTTTTGGCCGGTTCCCTAACCTCTCTGTGCCTCAGTGTCCTCAGTTGTGAAATGGAGCCAATGCCAGCTTTTAATTTCTCTTAAATAAATGTGAGGATTAAATACATAACTTAGTATATAAAAGCCCCTTACCCCAGGACACCACTGAGGCTCCGAGATGTTAGTTGATTGCTCCAAATTTAACCTTCACAAAATCCTTTGCTGTAGTATGTATTTTGTGAGTCAGTAAACAGGCTCATGGAAGTCCAGGGCTTCAGAATGGAAGCCTGACTGTCTGGCGGCTGGCAGGGCCTGAAGGTTTAAGTCCAAGGGCATCCTGAACTGGGAGGTGAAGTGGAGCCCGGCCTCTGCCCTGCTTGATCATTCATGACTTCTCTTCCTGCACACTGTTTCAGGACCCTAGACTTCTTTCTTCCTGTCTTCTTGGGGCCACCCTCAGTTTCCTTTCTTGTTTCCCCCTCAAGCACCACTAGCTCCTCCCTGCCCGTCTACACACACACACACACCAGTCTTCCATTCAGGTGACCTGATCAGTGGCCTGGTCTCCTGCCACTACTCCCTCTCTAACTCCATTCTTCACTCCTATCTTTTCATAAGCTAGTTTAGACACTGGGCCTGGGTTCAAATCCAAGTTTTGCTACTTGTTAACTATGTGGCCTTGGGCGAGTTCCTTAGCCTCTCTCTGACTCAGTTTCCTCATATGTGAAACAGAGATAATGATGGTCATGTCTTCAAGGTGTTATTTGCAAGGATGAAATGAATAATGTATGTGAAGTTTTGAGAACAGAACCTGGACCATGGAAAATGCATTGCAAGCGGTGGGTGTTATTGGTTTTAGTAGTGGTTATGGCTGTATACATAGCAGAGTTTAGTATCTGGTGTTCTCCCAAATCTAGGAAGAAGAAAATGGAGACCCCCAACTCTGTACCAGTTCCCCCCTCCAAGTAAATTTTATGCCCCTTGTACTCCAAAACCAGGGTGTTATCCATAGCCCTGGTCCAGCCATAGCTGGACCAGAATTGCAGGATTAAAGTGCCACAGTCAGAGGTAGAGGGAGGACCATGCCGAGCTGAGCCAAGTGGAGTTCAGGCTTTGCTCCATTCCCACCCCAGTGCTCCAGAGCAGTTGGGGAGCCTCCTATAGGGGACTGGGGGTGAACTCAGGATCACAGCTCATGGTACTTGGCTACAACTGACTGGAGGCAGCACTGGAACATGACTCAAGTGCAAACAGTGGGGACTCTGGTTTGGTTATACTTTGTGGTCATGGGCTGGGGCCACTTGGAGTTGGCCCAGGCTGGAAAATAACTCTCAGAGCAGGGAGTTGCCTCCACTGTGTCCAAGTGCGTGGACGGCAGAAAATCAGGCAAGAGGAAAATGAGAAAGAAAGGGGGCAGACAGATGATGGTGCTGATGAATTCCACATCACTGGTGAAGAGTCTCTGTGCTGGTGAGTTCCAACCCCTGGAAATCCCATCTCTAGGGGTGGAGGAGGCAAGTGATCCTCAGAAGTGACTCTACTTCCAGGAGTTGGGTACAAAGACTGAGGAGTGGCCTTCCCTCAGTAATTGGGGGTGGAGGGCAGAGCAGGGCTTGCACCAGACCAGCAGCTCAGGCAGGCTTCTGGGGAGGGGGAGGGTTTAGGTTGCGTTTTAAAGAATATGATTTTCAAGTGGTGAAGAGACGAGCAAAATTATTTTCCCTTAGAAGTGACCTTGGCTTTAGTTTATTTTAAGATTTATTTATGCATAGAAGAACTGGGTTGTAGGCGCGAGGTGCAGGGGGTGAGAGGATTTACCAAAGACAGAGTGGAGAGCAGAACAGGCAGATC